GGCTTAGTTACAATCTACAATGGCATTAGACAAGTGGGTCTCAATTTGTGATCTATTGGTCAGAATCCACTTGAGTGTTTCAGATGAATGCTTTTTCCTTTCTTATATTTTTATTAGTTTGTACTAGGTTTTTTTTTATCTTAACAGGTAGTCTTCGACTTACAACAATTCATTTAGTGACTGTTCAAACTTATAATGGCCCTGAAAAACATGACTTACAACTGTTTTTCACATTTACGACTGTTGTGGCATCCCCAGTCACATGCTCAAAATTCAGATGCTTGGCATCTGACTCATATTTACGACAGTTGCAGTGTTCCAGGATCAGGTGACTTTCTGACAAGCAAAGTCAATGAGGAATCCAGAATCACTTAACGACCGTCTTACTAATGTAACAACTGCACATTTAACAAGTGTGGCAAGAAAGGTCGTAAAATTTACTTACAAATATCTCACTTAACAACAGAAATTTTGGACTCAATTGTTGTTGTACATGGAGGACTGCCTGTATAACTTAGCAAAGAATATTATTTTTTTAAAAAGACCTTGTGAGATTTAGGTGTTTTTATTCTCAATCACATGTATTGTATTAGGTAATCTCCCAGGATTTCTAAACTCAGATGTTTTGGGGAGAGGAAAAATGGCCACAGCAACTGAGGACCATGTTATGTTTCCTTCCTTGGTTTCAGAATAGAGGAAATATATTCTATTCCAGTGGAAATCAGAAATAACAAATTCAGATATGTGCCAGAGAAACTTTGTAGGTAGAATTGGGATTAAAATGCATACATTCTGTTTCCATTCAGATCCAATTAAGATACAATGTGGAATTTCCTATGTAGCCAGAGTTAAGGGATATGTGGGGAAGCAAACAAGAATCTCATAGAAAAAGTTACAGACCGTTTCTCATTAAACAGGATGTTATCAATCTGCCTAAGCCAGTACCGAGCTGCTTGATTCAGTCATTCAACTAGAACACCAACCTAAGCGGGGTTTCAACTAACCTTGTACAGGCCTAGTAGAATGGGGATTCTGTGTACTTTACAAAGATTTGCGGGGCGATTTTTAAAGTAGTTGTTGCATCGTTATAGTAGTAGTAAGGAATTACTTCTGACTTGTAAACGAGCTTGCTTTTCCTAACAAACTAGCTCTCTTGAATCCTTTGGCACCCTTATTCTCAGGGCGGTGGAAATGCTAATCCTCAACCAAAGGTTAAAGCTTTCTCTTTTAGTCCAGATAATGTAATTAGCTAGCACCTTCTAATAAATCAAATTTTCACGCAGGCTTTCAATAAATGCCCTGACATTTTTTCCAGTGCTTCATGCAGTTTACCAAATAATATATGCCTGAGACCTTTATTTTATTTTTATTTTTTTAAAAATATCTTGTATCACTGTTTCACCTTGGTCAGCAGAATAAAATGATAGTTATTTGAAAGTATGAGGACTGTTTTTCTCCCTCACCTGCTGTTGCTGATTTTTCAAAAATTAGAGAGAGATAATAATTTCAACATTATTCAAGGCAAACGTAACTACATGTTTACCATTGGAATCTTATTAATACTGTTTTTCTTTTAAATTCAGAGAAACAATTCCTATGCAGGTATAAGCAGCAAATAAAAAATTCAAATTCCACAGAACACAGTTTGAAAAAAAAGGTGCATTTGATAAGGAGCTAAGATCTCTGTTATTAAAGAACTGGCAATTAAATTCAGATGGTTACACAGCCAGCTCTGCTCTCATTGTGGTAAGAGGAGGAAATATTCCATCCTTTCCTCTTCTGTGCACAGGAAATGCATTGTGTGATGCACTTATATCATGCTCTGACTCAGGCTGTTCTTAATGGGAAGAAAGGGAAAATGAGTGCTTGAGTCCTCCATGACGTGAGGTGTGATGACAAGGCAAACCAAATACTTTTCTTATCTGCTACCCAGTAAATGTTTGATCTGGCCCTTGAATTACAGTTAATGTCAGACCTACCACCATTAAACTTCTAAACAGAAACAATCCTTGGCTCCATTTTCTGAGAAAGGTATAATTTTATTAGGTCAAGTGTAGTGAAGTAATGCATACCAGAACTGAGAATCTTGCGCTAAAACCCCTAAGTTCAACTTCTCCCCCCTCCCATCACTGACTGCCCCATGACCAATCAGGTTCATGCAAAATGTTTTCAGAACAGTCAGTTAGTATGCAGCTGCCTTCTTTTCCCAGTTGGTGACCTTGAGGCAGCTTCTCAGGGAGGTACAGCAGTTGCTTTCATTTCACCCCAAGCATTCCCCCCTCACAAACACTCTCTCCAGCATTCATGGCAGACTATCATCGCATGGTAGCAAGGCACAAGCAAGTTTAAGATGGCAGCTGACAGTTACTTTGTTTAAGCTTTTCCTGTAAGCTACTTCTCATATAATTAATGACCTACATAAACGTCATGATTCCATAGGAGATGGTATTTTGGGACATGGCATTTTTTGATAAAGTGCTACTGACTGAACATAAACTTCCACACTATTTGGGGCTGTGACATGACCCAGTAATAGCTTATTTATTTGACTTCTTTCAAAAGATGAACATCATTTTTCCTCTTTGCTCCTGGGCATGCATGAAAGCTTGCTTGCCTACAGGTCATCCTCGACTTACAATCATTCATTTAGTGACCATTTGAAGTTACGATACTGTTGAAAACCAGTTCTTATGATTGTTGCAACATTCCCACAGTCATGTGATTACCATTTGTAGGGCTTCCCAGATGGCGTCCAACAAGCAAAGCCAATGAGGAAGCAGGTTAGGAAGGTTGCAAGTCAAAATCATGTGATGTCTGCTTAACAGTTGTACCACTTAATGATGACTTTGTGGTCTTAAGTCAAGGGCTACCTGTATTTATTTACTTGTTCCCAATGATTTTGTTAGAGTTTGTTTGCTTGTTTGTATCATTCCTTTATTATTTTTACAAATAACTCAAGGTGATGAACATATCTAATATTACTTCTTCCTCCTATATTCCCCACAATAACAACGCTGTGAGGTGGGTTGGGTTGAGAGAAAGTGACTGGCCCAAGGTCACCCAGCTGCCTTTCATGCCTAAGGCAGACTAGAATTCAGTCTCCCACTTTCTAGCCTGGTGCTTTAATCACTCTTACCAACTCCATAATTTTAATCATTTTTCTAGTAGTTTAGACTTTAGTTTCTCCAAAGAAGCAGCACAATTCAAACTTTTGAGGCACACAAATGGTTTCCGTTGTAGAAAATGCCTTTATTTAAACTTAGGAGTTGCACACACATTATTACAATTTATATCAAAAACTTTAGAAACAGATGTGTGTTCTTACAAATAGGCAACAAGAATTATTTGCTGTATATTTTCTCCCTTCCAGGAAGGAAGGAAGGAAAGGGAAGTTATGTTGGGTGAGCACAAATTCACTTGCACGAAGTTGGTAGGTTTCAAAGGCTCCTCCTACTTGCTGGTTCTTTTGAAGCTTGTTCTAAGGAGTTGTTCCTGATCAGAGGTGGTATTTAGACAGTTCTGACAGGTTCTGGAAAACCAGTAGCAGAAATTTTGAGTAGTTTGGAGAACCAGCAAATAGGCTGGCTCCGCCCCTGCTGCCTCCCAGCTTCCCAGCTGATCTTCTTTTGTTGCCCTGAACAGGAGAATGAAGCTGGAAAGCAAGTTAGTGGGGTGGGGAGGGAATGGGACTTTGCAGTGTCCTTCCCCTGTCATGCCCACAAAGCCACACCCACTGCTCTAATCCTGATAGCTACAGTGGGGATTTTTGAGAAACACCTTAATAGCAAGAGGACATTTCATTAGATCCCTGAAAGGCTGTCTTCAGTTGGCAAATATACACAGATGAAGAAGTAGAGGGGGGCGGGGAAGCTATTAAGAGACTAATCAAAGACCAAAGGGAATGCAAAAGAACAAAATCTAGCAAATTTGATTACACCATTTTATGCCCTTAAAAAAAAAAACCGACAGCAACCACTCATTGCAACAATAATTGACAATATAAAGTCTTAACATTGCTAAACAAGCATCTGTTTTAGAGAAAAGCTGTTGCCTGTATTGCAATAAAGTCAAATTTTATTATTTCCGATTCAGCTACTATGCATGAGCATCCAATTTCAAGTCCTTCTGCCGAGGAATAATAACATTCACGCTTGCAGTAACTTCCAATAGAAATAAAAATGTCCTCCTACAACAATTTTGAAGTCCAATGTAGCCAGTAAATACGTTTATCGTTCCACTTTGCTCTGCTGCGTCCCATCCGGGGTTTTTTTGTTTTTTTTTAAGCAAATGGAACACGCCAGAGCAGAATTTGGAAAATACTTCCCATTTTTCAGGACCATCTTTGGGGAATCACAGCTAGAACAAAAAATAAGTGAACAGGCTTTGAATTACCTAGTCCATCTATCATGAATGAATTGGCTTTATGATTCAGTAACTAACTGGATAAGCTGATGTATTGTACACTCAAAAGTAATGAGTTGAGTGAAATTTACTCCCAAGGTCACAGCCTGGGCATATTTGCAAAACTAGAACCATGTTCCTAATTTGTATGGCTGTGATAAGAATTGAGACAGAAAATGGCAGTGTTTTTTGACCAGCGCAGGTAGTCCTTGACTTTTGACTGCAGTTGAGCCCAAAGTTTCTGTTACTAAGTAAGACAATTGTTAAATGAGTTTTGCCCCATTTTATGACTTTTCTCTATGCAGTAGTTAAGCGAATCACTGCAGCTGTTAAGCTAGTAACATGGTTGTTACGGTGAACCTGACTTCCCTATTGACTTTGCCTTGTCAAAAAGTTGTAAATAGATTATGCCATGACCCCGGATGCTGCAACAGTCATAAGTGTGAAACATGATCCTGAGTTGAAAGGTTCCTAAATGAATGGGTGTGGGTTGAGGACTAGTAAAGTACTAGAAAAATAAACTGAAGTGACTATCCCTGAGCATCAGGAGAAATAGCAAAAATAACTCTCCTCTTATCATCTCTTTTTTGCCCCAATAGAAGAGCGAGTGGTTCCCATAGAAGTTTGCCGTTCCAAGCTGTCCAAATATTTGCAGGGAATCGTTTTCCGCTGTGACAAGTGTACCTTCACCTGTTCCAGTGATGAGTGTCTACAGCAACACATAGAGAAGCACAATGAGCTGAGACCTTACAAATGCCAACTCTGCTACTACGAGACCAAGCACACGGACGAGCTCGATGCTCACCTTCGCGATGAGCATAAGGTGAGCAGTGGTTTCTGTTCACTGAGGCCCAGGCCTTGGAGAGGGGGGGGGGTGTCTCGCCTTGAGATGTCAACTGGTCAGCTTCTAAAGAAACTAGTTTTCCCCTCCATAAGTATCTAATGAATTCAACACATTTTCCATAACTAAGATAGTATTTGTCACAGGGTGCAAGTAAGGGATGGATTATTGCCGGTTCGGTGCACATGCGCATTTGCACATAAAAAGGTCTGCACATATGCAAAATGTTAAAAGGGGGGGGGGGAATTACATTTCAGCAATGAAAATTGTTCTGCACATGTGCAGAATTAAAAATCAAGATGGTGCTGCCGCAGGAGAACTGGTTCGGGGGCGTAGCAGAAATGGGTCACTGCTGGTTCCTGCGACCCAGGCCGTCAAGTTACTATCAATTTAGCCGAACTGGTCTGAACCAGTAGGAACCCACCTCTGGTGTAGGCCCTGTGCTCTGAGTCTTTAATATGGTATTAGAGATGCACAGAGGAAAACCTATCAATCTTTATTAAACAAGAAGTATAACCTGTCCTTGAATGTTGCACTGCAGAGACCTCATTCCATACCATTCATGTTGGTTTTCAGAATTTATACTCCAGTCGCCTTCTAACTGAGTTAACATCTTGTTGAACTCCTTTTCTTCTTCTCTTTTGGTGTCCTTCCTCCTCCCGAAAAAGTTTCACTTCTATTAAAAAATAATAATAATCGGGAGTGAATCTGAATTTGTATTTGTATTTATTGCATTTCTATGCCGCCCTATTCCCCGGAGGGACTCAGGGCAGCTTACAAACCAAAGTAGGGGGGGGGGATACAAACAGGAGGGAAAAACAACGGACACACAACTACAAACAGTTTAAAAAGGCACTCAACAACCATACAATGCGAGCGGGGGCGGGGCACCTGTCAGCCCCAGGCCTGTCGGAACAACCAGGTTTTAAGGGCTTTGCGGAAAGCCTGAAGGGTGGTGA